TGCATAATGAAACACTACCTAACGACGTGTGTCTCTTCTTGCAACATGATTCCCGAAAAAGGATCGAGCACTCTGGGAAGATCTGCAGGCGATGCTGTGCGCGGACAGCCTAGCCCTGTCACATTCAACCTTTACAAATCTCCTGTTGGCGCACTCGAGGGCCAAGCGATTCTTCCTGCCGTGGGGGTGTGAACCACAAGTTGGGAACACGAAGCTCAACCAGTTCGTGAATGCCACAATGATTTGTCTCCAACGGCCTGAGGTCGAGGTGAGAATACCGCTGGCGGGTGATTAAATCTTGGTGGACTGTCCAAAAAGGAGGTCTCGGGGTGTTCTCGGTTCCAGCAGAAATGCCGCTTCGCTTTGCACGAGGAGGGATGTCTCGGGTAGCGTAGCATTGGCACCCACGAGGAAAAGTAAAACGGTATGCGTGTTGGAGAGCTCGTCTGCCGACATTCATATCTTGACAAAACCATCGGTGACCAAAGGGCAGGGCGACGACTGTCAGTGCGCACGGTTGCCAGCGCTTTCGACGTGTAAGCTCCACACAAGAGGAAAATGAGCTACTGCAAAAATTGATCGTTCCCTGCCTTTAGGGAGACACACCACACATGGTCACAGAGGTTGAAACGAAAGAAGGGCAGTGCGCAGGATGTGGTTCATGCACGAAGCGACTCCACGGCTAGAGCATAACAGCGGCGCCCAGAAATGTCTCCACTGAGATAGACTCATGTAATTTCTTGCCGTGAGAAAATACCCCACCAGGGATGTAACGAATGATCACTGCGCGAGCACATGTCTGCGCGCACTGACCACTCGTCGCATCCTCCGCGCACTGGTGAGTTATTCTCACGAGTCAAAAGAAACGAACGATCGTCGTGGAGATGTTTCATGGATGCCACGGTAATTGCCTGCGATTTACATTTGTCTCTTTGTATACGGGGTGTGCCCCGCTGTTGAGAAGTACCGTCTCGTACCCTTGGGGTGTCGTTATCTGACTTTGCTGCATTCTGGTGAACAATGAGCGACTTTGGGAATGTCGACCGGCCTTGGGCTTCCTCGTTGTGGGTACAACGAAAGGTCAACGCGCGAGGTTTAGAATTGGAGAAACTGTCAACAGGACTGAGAAACGCAACTACTACACGAGTTTACGTTTCCTGTTCCCTCCGTCTGGAGCTCACATGTCGCAATTGCTGGCGTTTAGTTTTGTTGAGCAAAGTTTGTTGAGGTATTGCCGATTGTATTGAAATTGTCGACTTGAAAAGCCGAAAGGCTGTTCTGTTCCTGTATTTCGGGGTATCAGACTTGGAAGACGGTGCCTTTGGGGTGGTTGTTCTCTCGGATAATTTACGTGCTTTGGGTTCTCTGTTCTGTGTCATTTCTTTCATGATCAAAGGTTGCGTAATAGGCATCCTACGTGCCGTGGTGCGGTGGTTATCACGGTCAGAAGGGAATGAGCAAGTTCCTGCACGACGTCGTTTCCCTCCATGCGGAGCATATAGTCTACTTCGAGATCGTTGTCGACCTTCCGCACTGACGACCACCTCCCTAAACCGACTCCTTGACGCGTTACCGTAGAGACATGCCTCTCCTCTCCTCGACATTACCCCAACGCCGCCCCATGAACATCCCTGCCTTCTCCATGGTTTTTTCCGTTGTGCCCGAGGATAGGTGTATGGGATTGAGTGGCTGACTACAAGCGAGGCATACACGGTGTATGACTCCTGGGATCCATCTTCCAACCTCCTTGAGATGGTTGTTTCGGACTCTGTCAAAGGCATGCGAAGATGCTGTTAACCGGGGCAGGCGAATTCGCATGTTTGTGCTTGAAACATGCTGTAACATTACTGTAGGCAGAAGGCACCACGTTCTTGGGCGAGGTTGAAAACGGTCTCCCGGGGTACAAGCGGCTCGTGTGTCGTGGGTGCATGTGTACGTTCGGCCTTATATGTCGATTCGCCAAGCCAGTAACCATCCCTTCAGGGGTCTACACGGGTATTGTACCCTTTATGGAGTACATCTAGGGTTGGGCGAAATATCCTTATTGTAGCACTAGGTTGGCCGCGCGCCCACCCCGACGGGGCGGAACGGCCATCGTGTAGAATTATTCATCAACCGGATGAACATGTAACGAGCTCGAGACGGCAGAGCAATTTGACCATGCATTTGTTTCCGCACGCGAGGTGGGGGTACTCGGCAATTGAATACGAGAAGAAAACAGGGAAGATGGGTTTTTACAAATCGAGGGCCTGCGAAGGACGTTATGACCAAGCAGTGGCGAGCGTGGTCGCTGTTCGGAATTGGTGAGGCGAATAATATACAAACCGTTGCTTAATGGACCATTCGAACTGGCATGGCGGTGGTATGGTATCGTGAAACGTATCTCGGAAGCACGCCGCCCCCCGAATGTGAGAACGGGAGAGTTGTTCGAACACTCCGTTGAAGCCACCCTTCACACGGGGGGCTTACGAGTGCTACAGAGACCGGCACAGAGACAAGGGGACGAGTTGGACACATCGAAGGCTTCTAGCGGTTTGCCAGCTTGAGGAGACAAAAAATCGTCGAGTAATTTTCCCACACATTCAGTAACCGGCAGATGCAACTTTCGGCTAAGAAAATGGCATGGTACCATTTTGGGGACTTGGTATTCCCTCGGGTGAAGAAGAGGGCAGTTCGAAAGAAACACGAAAGAACTAGTATGGAACTAGATTCTTGTTCGCAAATTGACTTTATTGTGAAACGGAGACATATAAGTACATACCTGGTAGCTGATCTTCGCAATCTGTACGCACCTTGGCTGCGTCTTTGTGCCACCCTCGAGGTGTGTTGATCGGATGCGGTAGGTCAGTCGGGTTCTGGAGTTTCATTCGCTGAAGAGATTGCCAAAATGAGCTTCGTTAATCTGACCCGCGCGCTGTCGCAAGTTAGATTGACACGTGCGTATGGGTATGAGGTCAATGAGGGACACACGGTGGCCTGAGCCTGCTTTGGGGGTCCCGCGGAAAAGGAGGTAGCATTTTAGTTGGCCAGTGCCGTCGAATCTCGGACCATATCTATAGTGAAACAATTTCTTACGTTGTCAGAACTCCATCTCATACCGTAGGCCCGCTACATCATCGTATGGCCATCGTGACGCACTGTCGACGAACACGACCAAAGGTATGTGGAACCATGAAGAGTTCGAGATGGCCCGGTGAGGTTGATGTGCACCTTGCCGAACCGTACCGCCGCGCGATGAAATACACGCCGAGGTGAAAGCTCCTTCCCACCCGCTTGCCTCTAGCCGGCCCGCACATGCCAGCGGAACCGCCGTCAACTAGCTCTCTACTTGTAGGCAGTTTCTCTGTAGAGCCTATTCTTATGGCTGGTGAAAGCGAATAAGAGGTACAGTAACTCTGCACTCAAATTGTGAGTTTCCTTTAGTAGAAAGGTCCTGCATTGGGTCGTCGTATGGCGCTTGCAAAAACAACGGCGGCAAAGTAACCAACGAACAACATGAAATCAAAGGGACGACTGGAAGCAGTTAGTCCCACTTGTCATGTGGCGACAACACCACCACCACCCACGGGTAGTAGCGACAACGATGATACTGTAGTACAACAACAAAACAAAACCAAGCAGCAGATTCATACTGTCGTGGACTAGCGAAAACCTAACAAAACGTATTTCGCATATATATCAAAACTGCGCCTAGAATCTAGGCTAAATGAATTGGCACCAGATGCTGAACCCCACTTGCTGCGCCACCACGTAGACCTGCCAAACAGAAACCTGTCGAGAGTTAGGGCTGTAGCTTTGGCAATAGATGGCACAATCCGTAAAAAATTGCATACTATTAACTTCAAGCCGTGCCGCCAGTTGCTGGCAAACACGGCCTAGCGGTGATCGCCTAGAGTATGACAAAGAATGCACGGTACAAACCAAATCCCATAGCCTTAGCCGGCACGAACAAACTACTGTACCCACCTTAACATTACGTGTTTATATGAACATTTAGACATTTTTCGTCGCATGGAACAGAGCAGCGAAGGCGCAGCTCGAAATGATACCTACGCGTCAACGTGTTGGCTACGACGGAGAAGCGAGTCCGAGGTGCGTGCGTGTTCTACACAAAACCAAATGCGATGGAACCGAAATAGAATCAAATCCTACAAAATTCAATAAAAAAAGAAACACAGCTTACTCATTTCCACGCAATACGACCGATCATGCTTCTTGTCATCGAATCGTGTAGTCGTGCCTCATTTTCTACAAACCCGCGTTCTCCAGATAGTCCACACTCGATTTGGGTCATCGCTCCGTAGACGTGACACGTGTTCTCGCAATAGCTGTCGGCGCTCAAGTGGGCGAACCCGTTGTACCGGTAGTTGTCGGCGGGGGATTCGTGGGCGCTGGTGTAGGTGAGGGTGCTAATGGCGCATGAGTGGGCGGTGACGTCGTGGAAGCGGAAGACGTTGCTGCTGTTACGGTCGAAGGCGATGCGGTCAAGGGTGTAGTGGGCGGTGCCGTCGGGGAGGCTGACGACGGCGCTGCAAGTGAGTGTTATTGAAGGCGCCGCCGTAGAAAGGGATGATGTCGGCGGTGGTGTTAGAGGGGGGGACCCGGCCACAGGGGATACGGTAGGTAACGACGTCGGGGAGGCTGAAGACGTCGGTGTTGCAGCTGCTGAACGTGCTGCACTCGAAGAGATGGTGTCGGCGCTGGTGTTAGTGGGGGGGACCCGGTCACAGGGGATGCTGTGGGGAGCGATGTCGGGGAGGCTGAAGACGTCGTCCGTGTTGTCGAGGGCCCTGCCGCTGAAGGACATGCTGTCGGCGATAGTGTTTGTGGGGCTTCTGTCAGCGCGGATGCTGAAGGTAGTGACGTGGGGGACGCTGAAGACAACGATGAAGCTGACGGCGATGCCGTTGGCGACGTTGCCGAAGCGGTACCGGTAGGCAATGCCGCCCCCGAGACCGTAGCGTTGGTAGGAGCCATTGTTGAAGTAGAGATCGGATTAGCTATAGCCGCGTCAGGGAGAGGGCCTGCCGCCACCACAGCTGCGTCGAGTGAGATAATGTACGGGGCCGTTTGGGTGTCAGCGCAGTTTTCGCCGTGGGGAGATGGGCAAGGTCGCCTCCCGTAACGATCACTTTGCAGAATGAGCCTTCATGATACTACCAGCAACAATCGTCGAGAGTTCGCTTAATTTGGCTGACGATATAACAACACCAAAGGAATGTAGGTTTATGGGGGAAAAACCGCGGGTATCATCTGGTTGCAGCACACACAGGCAAGCAGGCTCAGCATTCTCTGCACTATACCGTTCACCAAGCAGGTGTAAGTATTAATGAGACCTGGCACTGAGCGACAACACCTCTGAGGACTTGTTGAAGAAGCAATTGCGACCCATGGAGGACATGGGGGATCGCTTATCGACACTCAAGTGCTGCAGTATTTCGCGCAGAAGCCAAAGAGTTATCACGGTATATCCTGGACTGCAATGTCTCACCGGGGCGGCTGCCGATGATGCACGGGGCTGTGGGACTCCGTGGCTTCTGGGAAAATATGTCGTATTATAGATTGTCGTGGGCTTCGCCAGGACTGCTTCCCCAATTACTAATACCATCGGCGATTCTGCACCCCATTCGTGGGGCCTCATGGCGATTTGGCGACACAAAGCATTCAAACAGCAAGCCAAACTCTGCCGAACGACTGGCGAGACTTTTAGTCTAAAATGCTCACAAGAACAAAAAAATCCACAGACAGATGCAGAGATAAAAAGACAAGTAGTGAAATCGCGAAGAAGAATACGTGTAGGAATAACATTAATTGACTAGTGCGTGGTCTCCTTGTTTGAACCGTTGAATTTGGCCTGCTTGGCCTCGCGCTTCTTAATAGCCTCAGGCTGGCATCCCATGAGCTTGTCCGTCTGGCCTTGCACGATGCAAGGCTCGCAAACTTTCTGCAAAACGGAGGAAAGAGGATTTGGGAAGAAAAACGGCGGGAATAAGGAGAAAAAAGGAAGACGTGAAGCGAAGAAATACTGCTGTAAGGAGGATACAAAAGGAAAAAAAGAAAAGAGCGGAATCGACGAAAAAGAAGCACCAATGAAAGTAAAGACATTGAAAGGAGAGCGCTGAAAGTAAGCACGCAACGAAGTAGGAGAAAAAGATACAAAAAAAAATCTAACCATAAATACTCAACTACTGTCGAACGTAGAAGGAAGTTGAAAAGAAGGCTGCAGAGAATGGGAAGAAAGTGAGATGAAACTGACCTTGTCGCTGTCGTCGGAGTCTACGGGGTTTAAGTCGAAGCGGATGCTCGCTGCGGTACCGCACTCTCCGCACTTTCCTTTTTCGCAAGTCTTGGGCTTGCAGTCTGTGTAGTTCACGTGGTTGTACAACCTCTTCTTCCCCTCCCAACGCCCCCAGAAGAGGGTGTCGGGCTCGAAGTGGACCATGCAAGATTCGCAAGTCATGACTTTGCCTTTGGGTTCTTCGCCTTTCTGAACCGTCGCTTGGACGAAGTGGAAACACGGAGCGGGACACCTACGAAACGAGTAGACGAGGACGTGAACGAAAGAACGTCAGGAACACACATACATGTGAAGAAAGGAGGAGGGCGCAGGTAAGGTCTGATCGGCCTAAAATAAGCATGAAGCCACATAGCACGACGCAAATGTTACACAAGTTGAAGATGTGGTAAATATTGTTTCAAAAATACCATATAAGCACCAGGAAAGCACGAGCAATTGTCACGTCGTCGGACTTTAATATGTACAAAATGAAAAAAACGTTCAAATAATCACAAACACGAAGAGGAACAACACGCCTGCAGAAGTGGACGTCACGAAAAGAGTATCATTGATAAGGATAGGCTCAGGTAAATGGATATCTAGGAATGCAAGGGCGTAGAAGAGGACAATCATACCCGAACAGGGAGACAAGACAGGCAGGAACACTCACATCTTGGAATACTGAGAGTCGAGGAAGCAGGAGCTAGGGCCAGCGCAGAGGATGCAGGCGTCAGCAGTCCCAGAAATGTCCCACGACAAGATCTGCTCGAAGACGGTGTTGGTGACATCGGGGGCGGCGGCAGACTTTGCGGCAAGGCGCTTCTTGGAAGCAAGAAGCCTGTCCAGAGTTTGTTTCTTTTGGGCTGGTGTCTGGCTGTTGAGGCCAGCTTGGTCGGCAGCCGACAAAGTGTCATATAGTTCTTGTTGAGCAGCAGTGAGAGCCATGGTGGTCGAGAGGTACGGTGTAGAAGAGGTAGAGATGGGGCAGTGGGTGGAGAATGATATGTGGGGCCAGCTGATGAAAGAAAAAAAACAAATACCAAAAATGTAACCGAAAGAAATGCACGCTTAAGATGTGCAGGTATGCGGGCCAGAGCACGCCGGAAATGCGCCGAATCGCAGAAGACATTTCAAGACCGCATCAATGGTGAGGTGGAAAGAATCGGCGGACCCCACGGGATCATTAACGATATTCCTGATATCATTAGCGATATTCCTGATCCTATCGGCATAAGACGACAGGTCGGATTTGAGGGGACTGCACACGTCGAGGTCCACGCCGCCGAGTTTCATGACGATAGGGGACGTCTTGTCATTAGGATTGATGGTCATCCAAGATAGAGGCTGTCCTAGCTGCATGATCATAGATATTGCCTTCATTCGCAATGATCTCTTGTTGAGAATCGTCCAAGTGGCGCAGCTGTTGACATATTCCATAGTTTGGATAAGCTTGCGGATTGCCGGACGATTAGCAAGAACCGTCGAAGATCCAGAACCACCTTCTATTTCTGTCGCGGCGGCACGAAAATCATCAGCGGTAATGCCGGCCAACATGGACGCCACACCCCGCGATACTCTGCCGTTCAGTTTCCAATAAGAATTGGAAATGGCTTCTCTTCGAAAGGTTATAGCAGCTATTTAGGCAAAAAACGAAAGTTCTGCTTCGCCGGAAACGAGAGTCAAAACGCCGCAAAAGAATGCGTGCCCACTTCGTGAACGTGAGTTTCTGAGCGCGTTTGTCTAACGGACCGCAATCAGCGTCCCCGGTTCGTTGAAATCCTCCACCATTCTGCCAGAATGGGGGATAACAAGCAAATATTTCGTTGATTGCGGCGGCGGGCGCCCAGCTTTTGCAGCATCCGTGGCCGCGGTTCTCTCGGCTAGGCTGGCGCTTGGAGGGGTCAAAGATGCCCCCAGAGCTCTCAAGCGATCGGGACGTCCCTCTGCGGACATGTCCTCACCCGATGGAATTACTCCATCGTTGTCAATCACCACTTCATCGTCGTTGTCGGCGGTCGTATCGTCAAATGTGACGGGCTCTTCGGCTTCGCGGGTGTCTGAAACATAAGTCGAACGGGATCTCTGTCGCGACTTGTCTGGGTCGGACGTGACAATGAAAGACCTCTTGATTGCTCGTGGGACAGATCCGTCCTCGGGAAAGCTTGCAAGATTTTCGTCGGACATGGTCGTCCGCTGAAAAGAACGCGCGTGCCTGCTAGCCGATTAGAAGCGGCTCGTAAGGTCTCTTATTCTTTGCCGCCGTGCCCCGAAGATTTTTCTAAGCTGAGCCTCAGACGGCTTAGAGCCGACGATAGCACAAGTCATCGATCCGGCGATATCCGAGTCGCACGACGGTAGAGCAGACTGAACGCCGTAAGCGTTTTGAAAAAAAAAAGTGAAGGTACCCCTCCCTCATCATTCGTTGCGCGGAGCCGGCGATGGAGCCGACCTTTAGCTGCTCCAAGGCGAAAACCATTCCACTGGTTCTTACAGGACTGGTGGCTGCTAACTCCACCCAAGTAGAATCAGCAAGTTCCTCGGGCAAGTCTCCAACCCAGAGGCCGTTGGCCAAGGCAGCGGAAGGCATTGTTTTTTTCTTCAAATCTCGAGGACAATCTTTGCATATTCGAAGCTGGTGAGGTTCCTCGGTTTCAAACCCTTCCCTCGCCAGTACAAGCCCATCTAGACAGTTTGTACTGTCGCCGGGATAGTCGACAAATGTTGCCATAATCCCAGGATGCGAAGTGAGATTGTCACCCGCGCGGAGGATGGAAGAATTACGCGTGTCCCTCGACAGAGAGACAGAGATGGAGACGCTTCCGCGAGGAGCTAGCGCCAACAAATATTGGTCCGCCGTGCGCTCTCGTCGCACACAACGCCAGTGACCCACACGACCGCCACGCCCGGCGACAGCACGACGGAGCACACATTCCAAGTGGTCCGGTGACGATAGGTGACCTAATTTTCGAGACATCGTTGTGGTGGTGTCGTGTGGTTTGGCACGAAATGAAGCCGCGTTTTTTCTGTACTACGATCAAGACAAAATATCCCAAAATCCTTCGTTATAATGCCATACAAAAAAATCACAACATCCCGTTATAATGCCATACGAATTTGTCACAAAATCCTTCGTTATAATGTCATACGAATTTGTCACAAACATTTTTCGTGCTTTCGCGAATATAGCCCTGACAGAAGCCCCAAGTTGACAATTGGGGAATTGAGACCTTGGCTTGAGAGACAGGTTGGCAAGTGGAGTTAAGCGCGGTGGGCGTGCGCAGCACCCCAGCAGCATCACGCTAAGCCATCCACCAAAAAACACGGAACTCAGGCCAATTTCCGATCCGGCATACCGAGAACATTCCAGGCATTCCAGGCATTCCAGGAACATTCCTACAAAACGACAGTCCCGTTATTTGAACTGCCCTATCAGTGTTCTACGTTACTCTGTCGACACACAGCAGCAACTACCACGAACACCCTGTTGTCTCGACCAGATCAAATATATATCAGAAAAAAAAAAAAACCGACTCAGACCTCTACTTCGCAGATCTCAAGCCCAGAGCACAATTACGATGAACTTCAACACGATCTCTCGGCAGAGCCTTCGTCAGGATGTCCGCATACTGTTCTTCGCTAGAAACATGCCTGGTTCCAACACCCCTCCTATGTTAAATTCCTAAGAAAGTGGTACCGCACGTCAATGTGCTACTGTTACACGAACTAAGTGGATTCTCAGCAAGTGCAATCGCACCCTCGTTGTCCTCTTGTACCTGAATGTTACCAATTCTATCACTAGGCCTCAAGAACTCGAGCATTCCGTTGACAAAACAGAGCCTCTTTTACACCGTCACCCATCGCAACATACTCTGCTTCAGTTGTCGAAAGTGTGACACATTTCTGCGTCCTAGAAATCCGAGCAACAACACAGTCAGCTACAAGAACTATTTATTGCTCCCGACCGGTCTACGGTCAGTGGCCGTGCTGGCGAAGTCAGCGTCCAGGTACACCAACGTGCCTACGTCTACCATAGTATCCTGCTTGTGCTTCAAAGTTAGATGTGCCGTCTCCAGAAGATAAATTCAGAACTTCCGGGCCGCCTTCCAGTGGCTTTTTTTTGGCTCATGAGAGTGCCTCGCCACCGCCCGCACAACATTTGAGATGTCGGGCCTCGTCGTTGGCGATCCACATCAGGCTCCTCACCACCTCTCGGAACGGCACATATCCTGCCCCCTCATCCTTCATCACGGGCCTGTTATCGTTAGCAGGGGAAGCAGGGATCGAGCTGGTTGTTCTGACTGATTGTCCGAGGACAATAAGGTATGCATTTGCGAGACAAGCTTGCTTGTGATCTACACGATGGTAGACGACATGCAATGAGTGAATATGGATCATTTTCGCACCCGTATGGGCGGGGTATATTGCGTTTGGCGAGACAAGGTTACACGATGAAGGGTTTGCGGGCTACATACACGTTTCGAATGAGATGATCTGAAAGCAAGTTTCGAAGTGTAACGTGGTATGGTTCTAGACTATAGGGCAAATCCTCAACGGTAAGTTTCCACAACCTGGTAGGGGGCAGAGGGTCATATTGCCTGTTCTTCGTATGTCCCTCCACCCTACCTTCCTGTGCTTGATCCAGGCGGCACGAGTCTACTTCCCTTCTACCCTCTACCTACAAGAGCTGGGAGGTGGAGAACAACCATGGGACCTCTGCGATCCCAGCTATTCGCGCAGAACGAGATTTGGCTGCGGTGACAGCCAGTTCCGGGTTTAACCCCAATACAGGTCCGCACTTTCTCCTTTCACCTACAGGATCTTGCGTGCATTTGTACTCGCTGGCCTATCCTGATCATTCGTCGTGGGTTTGAGCCGGAGTATTTTCTCTCTCTTGCTTGGTTCAACCACCCAACCAACCCGAAAGAGTTTTCACTGTATCCAGGACTGACTGCATTGTCTCACCGGGGCGGCTGCCGATGATGCACGGGGCTTCGTTAGTCTCATCACAGTACTCATCGCTAGCCTTGATCCCTCCACCGCAGCAGGAATCACCACTGAGGCCATTCGCAGAGCCAGACGTGTAGCATCCCTTCCCTCCGCATTGTCCACAGGCAAGCGGACAGCATACGACACCGTTCCCGTCGATGCCTTCCAGGCCGTTGCTGCAAGTTTCAGTTCCTGCTTGTGCATGTAGAGGATAGGGGGCCACGCACTTCAAGAGCCCGGTAATACGAAATATAGCTGTCAGGTCTATCATAAGCCTCCATGTCTGACTACGTGGCCCGTGCCTCTTCGTGAGAGAGCCCGGTCTTGCCAAGCTTCCGTTAGTCTCGACGTAGAGGTTGGACCGTCGGAAATAAGTAGCTTGCTACGGGTGGTTCAGGCTTATACACTGCGGAGGGATGGAGATAAATAGATAGAGGGAGGAAGAGAATGGCAGAAACGACAGATAATGTTTTTTGTTACGGCGGTGATTTTCTCGAGGAGGTAGTGAACCGCCGGTAATTGTTCGTCTAGCGAAAGCGATTTTTGTTACGACAACCTAACGTGCTTCAAGCCTGCCCGTTCGTTGAAGGCATGCGAGTTGCACATACGGCCGCATCTCACCAGGAACACGTGCACTTTTACCGAGGGATTCACGCATCAACAAGGCCGTGGTGCGTGGATAGTCGCAGTCACATGTCAACAGACCCAACACCCTGGTGGGGGGAGTGGGAACTTCATGCTGCAAATCTTGTTCGAGAACGTGCCTAAATGCTTTTTTGTCATGAGACAGGTGGCCAACTGCACGGAAACGGCTACTCGACGTTCAACGGCGGCAACACGAACAGCTTTCTGTCTCTCGTCATTGCTTCGAGCTAGTATATGAGACATCGCATCATGCGTCGAGGGAGTTGGCTTCTCGCTAAGACCCTCGAGGCCCGTCAAAGGACGATCGAAACCGAGATTCGCCCTTCCTTGTAAGCCAAAGAATGAAGTCGCGCGAATTAGACGGGTATCGCACCCAGAACAACGACGGCTGGGGTGATGTTGAACGCTTGCTACCTGTTCGTTCGAGTGGTGCGAGCAGAGGGCACCCGTCAACAGAGGTAAAAACCGCCAGCAATTGCTGCAGCGTGACTTTTGCCCGTGTGCGGAATTGCAAACGGCAGACACGAGGCTCAAGAAGGTCCGTCATGACACGACAGTGTGATAGAACCTGATGCTTACCGCACGATTCGTCCTGAGAAGCGATCGAGTCCCTCAGGATCTCTCCCGCAGGGCTGAAACCGTCAAGAGACAATGTAGGGCAAAACGCATCGGGGGTGAAGCGCTTGGTTCGTGTATCATTCGTTCAAATTCGGTTTCGGTAGCATCGGACCGCTGTCAATAAAGAGGTACTAGGATAGAGGAGATAGCGAGCTCATAGGCTCGTCGGCGGGCGGCGTTGAGCGGGAAAGTCGCGATACATTCTAACCCACGCACGCGGTACATTGCAGGATCATATCGAAATAGTACGAGGGGTTGCAAACCACCTAACCCAGATTTCAAGGGTCGAATGCCCCATAACAAAGAGAGTGCGAAAAACAGACAAACCGGCCTGCAAGGAGAGCGCCGACGAGATTGTCACAAGCACACCCGTTTCTTGGTTGGGAGCAATCGATCTGGAAATTTGGTCTAGTTGATGTGCGATGACTTGCACTTTGGCTGCACGCGCCAACTAAAACGATCATACTCCGGACGTGTCAGACGTACTAAACAATACAACGAGAGAAACAGCGGAAATCCCGCATTCACGCCCGTGCACATCAACCTGAACAATCGAAAGCAACTGCGTGAAAGAGACGGAGACTTGCACGAGCCATGCGTTGAGTTCAGTTCGGTAATACACACGCAGGGGACAGCCGCCGAACCTTGATACCCACGGCGAGACGACCGACAAGGGGCCATCCATGCAACTAAGACCGCGTCAACAACTCGCCAAGACTGAGTTCGACATACCGTCGGCGAACGGAAGACGTCTACCACGTGAAACAGAAACCCAGCAGCATTGCACCAAGGACACCACGCACGAGTGATTCAAGGAGTGCCAACTAGATCTATCCAACTAGATCTATCTGCAGAGGACGAACGATGATGTTTCCTACGTCGCAAACGATGCAAGCTGTGGCAGATGCTTATTGTAGACAATGACCGAGGTAAGGTCTACCTCGTCTTCAGGCTTCTTTTTTTATCAAACCAACATCTACCAGGCACAAGCAGCCTCCATGTCCGTGAAGTCGTCGTCGAGCTCTCTCATACATGTACGTGCGCGCATCGAGAGCTTTCATAGCCCCCTCCCCCAAATGTTTCCCTTGTGGGTACTTCTCCTGCGATGCGGATCACTCACCTAGGCGGGACACACAGCAAATCCGGGTTCTCCGTCACATCTCTTCGTAGCAGCCAGTGCCGCGTGCAGGGCACAGGAAATTGAGAGGGGCGCGATTGAGCCGCACTTGTGAGGACAACGAATGAGCTCGACAATGACTGCAACATGTGTGTTGAATGATGAGAAACGAACTGTGCTAGACAATACCTTCGCCGACTTCACGAACAAAATCGCCTGCGGCCAAACCTCGCCTGGGGTGATGCCGACAAGGAGGCCATACACTTGGGCCCTTTCAAACAAGCCAATTTCGAACGATCGGATGTTTGTCTGCATTGGACAGGTCATGTTCTCAGGGCAGCAACCAGTCACTATCACGCTCTCACATTTCGACGATCGAAGTCAGATCGGTAAACAAGTCGCCAGGCAGCCTTTCCAAGAGATTGTCGTTTAGGACGCTGCAGCACAGTTCACCGACAGCCGAGAAAGATGGTGATCCGGTAGGAGTTCATGCCGAGTGAGCGGGAGAATGAGGCAGCACCACACATGGTCAATCGCTCGGATATGTCATCATCTTTCCTCGCATTCTTCGTGACATTGTTGTCGCCCGCTATGTGAAGCCGCAAAATGCATTGCGTCTGATTCCCGTACACGTAGCAAGACTAGGTTGGCGGGTAAATATCGGCGCCGGTTTCAGACAATATGGTGCGTGAGACAAGCAGGTATACGTTTGTTCTTGAATACGAAAATGGCTGCCCTCCGACTACTCCAACAAAATAACAGAAAACGTTGTTGTAGTCTATCGGAAGGGATTGTTGGCCACGCTCGAGCAAGCGTACGCAATCTACCCCGCTGATACACCAACACCGTGCCTGGCGAACGGACCATTTCAGTCAGCGCGTCATGGATGGAAGCATACGCGCAAAAGTTGCTCACGGCTGTGCTGAAGGAAAAACAACACAAGGCAAAACCTTGGCAGGAACAGCACAAGTGATTGATGGGTGAGCTTTTGAGCAATTCGCTACAACGAGGTGTACCACAACAGGGCCCACGGCTCTGACGGATGAATGCACCAACCACTTCGTCTCACAGATATAGTAGCTGGCCTTGATTGGAGAAGATCCCCGCCGGTAAAGTCGTAAACTTGTTGTGTCCTAAGTACCTGCATGGACAATAGCGGGTGGGGGGGTTAGTGATCGGAACAGTCGGCACCGATTTTTTGTTTTCCACTGGAGAGGGTGGAAGTCGAAAGGAGCACTCGACGCTGCAGTGCTCGCTGATTTCGGGCCCGCTACTCCCGTATATTGGTGGAATCTTCTACGGAAGTAACGGAAACTCTTGCGAGTACCGTGGATTATTCCATCACGCTCGTGGAAGTTTCCGTGGAAGCAATAGAATAATTGTTGGAAGCGCTCGTGGAAGGAGTCGAAGGTTTCATCACTGCCACGGAGCTTCCGTGGAAGAAATTCCAACGGGGTCGTTCTCTGGTGGAAGTTTTTCCACGGAAGTTCCGTGGAAGTGATGAAGTAGCTTTCATTATTTCCATCAGCTCCACCTTCCATTAGGCTACCGGTGGCAGTGCCACCACAAATCCACCCAAATCCGAGAGATTGCATGGGAGTTATTGAGGCTTACATGGAAACTTCCACCACAACATGGAAATAGTTCAGAACGCAGATGAAGTCTCACGAGGCTATTCTCACTGTACGGTATTGCGGCTGAAGTCAGTCCTCAGGTATATATCTTGAATGGGTTTGTGTTAAAGATCAAACGCGATTCGAGTTTTCCCAAGATCTCACGATGATTCGGTTTGGCTGATTCTTCCATAATGGGCTTTGACATCAAGTGGTCCACTCGCGCCTTATCTCAACACTCGCTCACACCGTTAATAGGGCGCTCTCAGAAAGAACAGGACAAACGGATAAACGATGGGCATGGCCACGAGCGTCCACCGTCTTTCTGGACACGCCCACCGATGGATGTCCACACAGGCGGACATCCATGGGCAGTCAACGACACGTACACGCGTCCATGGACGTCCACGAACTTGCCCATTGGAACTTCTGCCGACCGACACTGATCTGCCCGTCAACACCATCGTCTATCTAGAAGCGTCGCATTATCGGGCAGAGGCCTGAACATTCGTTTTTTCCAACGGCACCGACAACGTGTGCTACACACCCGCCCCTGGATGGTATGCTCACAGTTCTTGTAGCTGCCCCAGGTCGGTGAATACACCCTCCGGCAGCGACGACAGGCCGTTGAAGGTTAAGCGCCTGCCACGACAGACAGTGGTCATGGATGGGTATTGCCCGATGACCCGTTTCGGGAGTAAATGCGTGGGCCATGTCTGCAGTGTATCCGGGGAAAAGTTGCACATGCGCGAAAATTTCGCGCTATAGAGCAACCCCGCGACAAGCAACAAATAGCTGCGGTATGCTGTCTAACCCGGGCATCTAATATCTAATTGCATTGAGACCTTGAGACAATAGAGATACATGTATGCTGCAGTAGCTTGAATTGATAAATCAAGACCAAGAAGATGCGCCTCCAAAATGCATCATACACACCACCAACGGAGTGCACCGTTACCATCACCGTCAAAGCAAGACCCGCAACTGCTTGAAGCAGGATAAATTCGGTCGTCGCACCAGTGAACAGACGAACAGTACAGGCATACAGGTTTGAACGCAAAGAAGCTGCTTCGATTGGTACGAATAAAGGCAACACCGGAAAGAACAACTCTTCTTGCTTTCGAACGAGAACCATGACAAAAGACATTATCCAAAGACATGCCCTTTAGAAAAAATGGGTGTGAGTCTTGACTACGACGGATTTTCGCCGCCGGCAAGTCTCTCAACCTTCAAAACACCGCGAGGGCGGGCGATGCTAAGGCTGACCGTAAATCCCAGCCAGTAGTGCCGCTGCCACACCATCAAATTGTGGGTCTTGTGATAATGAAACAGGAATAACGGGTCTTCTTGTGATAGTGTAACATAAATAACATATTCAGCAAACAGCATTCAACCGCAAGGGTGTGACTGGGCATTTGTGGGCCGTTGGCACGACAGACAAGTGTCTCCATGTAGTTTGTATACTTACAGGAATTGAAGCTTGGACAGCCCGGAGAAGAGATTCTCGTCGACTTCCCCACACCCGTTCTTGTGGAGCCACAAAGTTTCCAGGTTTCCGTTGTCCTGGAACAGCGCGGGAGGTAGGCCGATGTCCGACTCGGTTTGGTACAGGTACCTTGGAGGGGGGGCGGAGAAAAACTGGGGGTGAGAGAGTGTGCGCATTACCACGCATGGTCGGAGACTGCTCTTCGTCACGCCCTTCTACAAGCACCTCTTCTATGCCGGGGGCGAGTGAGTCTGGGAAGACATGATAAGGTAGATGGTATTGAAATCTCCATGAGTGTCCCGTCCGCGTGAGCACTCGAGAAAACAGCACCACTCCCACGGGATAGGGATGTCCCCAGCACACAAGTACAGCAGCCGTCCCATCTTTTCGAAAGAAGCACGTCTGTACAGACAGCCATGTCTTGACTTGTCCTCCACGCGCATGCTGTTTTCATACATTTATGTTAGGCTGCATGAATAGCTCACATATCAGCACGTGAGCTACGAACCGACTATTGAACGTGTGTGAAGCCTACAGTGCCTGACGCTTGCAAGAGCCAACGGGTGTTTGTTTGTTTAACCTGTTTGCCCGACCCCCGCCTGCGCAATTGGTAAACCTTTTCTTCACATTCATTGCAATTTGCTTCACATTCTACAGTCAAGACTCGAACCCACACCGCTGTCTTCGGCTTTTGCCTGTAAAGTTATTGCAATATGATATTTCCCTCCAAATACACATATCTGGGCCTCACAAGCTTTTGAGGGCACTTAAGCCATTGAACGTCCCTTCGGGAACCTCGCTGACGTCCAGCCCGCGGAGCCTCCTGCGGGGGATGCCGTGAAGACGGTCATGGTTAGGCGGCGAGCGTGTTCAGACGGGCGGTTGCTTTATTGCTGTCGGACACAACAGAGTTTGCCGACTCAGATTGCTCCACAAACGTCGACCATCGCCATTCGCGCGGTCGCGCGGATAAATGACTCAGGTTTCACGGTCAACAGAGATTTTCAACAGACCGCCGACCCCTGGGCAAGACGGCTACAAGAAAAGGTTGAAATCACTTTGGCATTGCGGACAGAAGGAAGCTACAGTAAGTTGCGCTTTTCGTGCATACGTCAACACTATGCTTCGACACAAAACACTCACAACGTCTCCAGAGAAGAAAGGTCCGAAAAGAGCCCGTCCTCCAGAACCTTGATTGGGTTCGAACCTAAATGAAGAAACGAAAGTTTGGTCAGGCCCGAGAATACCTCTGGATCGAGCTCCACGATGTTGTTGGTGTGAATCCACAACTCCTCCAAGTTTTGTGTGTCTCGAAAGAGCGTGGGAGGTAGAGCCAGTACAGACGGTTCGCTGAGATCCACCTGATTCTCATAAAAGTAGCTTATCGGGGGGTAAAGATGGCAGAAAGGAAAGGGGGTGAGGGGGGTAGGGTACGTGACGTTAGCCTAGGCCGCCTCGCCGCCATAGACTACACAATAGAGCCCATATTCGCACAACTCCTGTGCAATAGTACTCCTCAGCTGGCCCCAATAGCACCAGAGGTTTGCGGCAGGCAGCACGGATGCGAGCTATGCGAGCTTTGCTGATTCCGCGCTTTCGCGGCAGGTGGCGTTACAGCAATAATAGACGTGCTGCGCTGCCTGCCGTAGACGATATCTGAACCAAGGTATTCCTTGTATCGTGCACAGAAAGCGGTGTAAGGAAGGGAAACTATTTTTTTCTGGCAAACGAAAACAAATTCTATTCGCAATGCGAAAGGGCAGGTTTGTTTAAGGCGTAGACAAAGGCGTAGACAAAACAAACCGAGGTTTATTGAAACAACTCGAATTGCCATACTGTTTATATTGGGGTACCCGGAACGTATTGCGTACTGCGGGGCCCCCTCGGTCGAGAGGAGGAGTCGCATGTGTTACCACTCTGTTCAAGCCTTGTGTCCACAGAGTCTTAGCGTGCCAGAGAGAGAGTATCACAGAGACAACTAGCGAGGTGGTCACATAGAAGGCTTCTAGTGGTGTGCCAGCCTCTGGAGCTGACAGGAAGTGGAGTCTTTTCCCACCCACCCACCCCTTTTCTTTCGAAGGTGGGGGAAAGGAGAGGACGGATGAAGTATCCGGTAGAACTTGTTGCTGTATGTATGTGAGGCGAAGAAAATGGTAGGGTACCATTTTAGGGACTTGGTCATCTGAGACTACTGTGTGCAGTAAGATTGGTTCCCTCCACCGCAGGAGAGAGCACCCTCAGTTGCTGTTTGGAGGGAAGAGAGAGACAGTCTTTATTGGGAGAGAGGCAGAGGCACGATAGAAAGGCCGCAGAAACGTGTCTGCGGGAAACGTGCTCTCTGCCAGTTTGGTATCTCTCTCTTCCCTCGGGCGGTAGAAAATATTAATAAATGCAATTCGAAAGAAAACAATAAACGCGGAAAGTTATTAGTGAAAGACCGACCGACAGCGGCAGAGCTACGAACTGACTGACTCGCCCGTATGCAAGTCTTTATAGATGCAGAACTTCCGTTGTCCACTTTCAGGAGAATGCTAAAAGGCTCAAGACTAGTCTGGGTTGCAGTTTTCGTATTTCTCATCAGTGGAGCAATGTACCCATCTTGATTCTTATTTCCCGTCCAGACCAGTAAACATGCCACATGACCTGACAACACGCAAATGATCACATGCACGGGCAATCCTCTGTGATGCTCAAAGTGCCACAAGCTCCCCATCTTTCCCATGCCTTTATTGACGTCGAGATAATTGGAGCCTGTACAAATGTAGCACGGCGTCCTTCTCATTCTAGGCGGAACAAGCAGTTGCCGAATTGTCCCGATCGCCGGGAGTGTGTTTTACCCCCCGGCGCCCTTGTGTCTACAGGATAATCTCTCACAGTTCACTGAGTGCGCTCAGGCCGGAGAACAGATCCTCCTCCACTTCAGCAAGGCGAAGGTCCCGCATTCTCCTAGTTTGATGGGGGACGAATGGGGTCGGGTACAGTACATTGAGGTTGGAGTATGGCGACTCCAACCATCTAGACTGAAGCAGGTTCTTGCCTCCATCAGGGCGGATGCTAAAATTTGGGGCCTGGGTGCGTTTTGTAGGGTAGTATGTAGACTTACACATGAACGGGTAAACGGCGAGAATGGACCAGAAACCACCGTACGCCACAGAGCCCACAGCTCTGAGGAAAACAAATAAGAGCACCATGGAACGTCTCGTCATTCTTTCTGGGTCCTTTGTATGTGATGTACCAAACGTTGCCAAGCGCTACAACCTCTTCAACACGAACAGAATGTAACAGAATGTTGCGTAAGCAGTAGTCCAGGCACGACATTTTACGGGCGACAGTGGCAAGGGACTTACAGAGTCTCCAGCGAAGACAGCCCCGAGAAAAGCCCCGCCGGTAGTTGGGTAATTGGATTGTGGTCCATGTGTCTGCGCACCAACGACAACCGCGATGAGGTTGCGGCAGAGTCAGAGATTAATGAGCAGCGCAAAGCTCAACGCAACCAGTAGGTGTTGCCGTGAAAAATCTTTGCTTGATGCTATCGACAAGGAAGCCACCTTGCCATTCTGTGATGTCGGTAGAAACAGTACCGCTACAGTTATTTAAATGTTTGCTAGGAGGGAAGCTTGACTTGGGTCAACACGCAGAGCTTCGCATTGATTCTGTTCCAGCATCGACAACTTGAAGGCGGCACATACTCAGGACCCGAGCTCCGATGCGAAGCTTGGTGCACAGCTGAAGACATCGTTGTGTGTGACGCACGATCGCAAACCCTAGAAGACGAATTCAGTAGGGGGTGCAGGCATGACATGCGAAGCGCTCCGGCAAATGTTGGAGAATGAACAGGAGTGAGTGTTGAACCTCTACCCCCCGTCCCGGCAAGCCTTACATGGTTCGTAGCAAGGACAATCCCGAGAACAGGCCCTCTGGAAGCGTTACCAAGGCGTTGTCGCGCAATGAGCTGGAAGAATGTGGACAGGCGGGCGCGAACAGGATGCGCAGAAGAAAATACATCCGGTGGCGGAGGCAGCGGCGGCTTGAATACCCGTGGTCCAGAAGGCAAACCAAGTATATGCACGGTTTGTTCCACTTGCAAAGACCGGGTTTACCACAATCTCAACCTGCCATGCTTTCCGATTAATCAGTGGCCCTTTGTAAGCCTCGCTTCACGTGTATCGGAAGCGAAGATACAATAAACCCGGCTTCCCGACCCACTGCGTAGTGGACTGGGCACCAACCACCCTTGCAAATGAGTTCTTACTCAACACAAGAGTCACAGCCTGACAGCCCGCCAGTCGGGTTGCAGACACAACTACACACGGCTCACCCACCGCGGCGCTTCAAGCGGGGAGACTGGTCTCAATCATCCCAGTACGACTGCACGCACATATCCGCACTAAGAACTGTGTACCCGAGCTGCTCGCGAATAGCCGCGATGCAGAAACGATAGTATTGCGACCGCAACCAACTTCTGGTGTTGTCCACTCGTCGGCCCAACAAGTTTTGTTGGAGTTCTTTCACGATTCTTGACGAAACCGCTGACTGGAGAAACCGCCGACTCGCGAAATGACGGAATATCCTCCTCGAAAGACGAACACACTATTTTACAGCTACCAGCAAGGCGAGGCAGTACCGTGGTTATGCGGCGAGCGTGATAACATAAGCAATATCTGGCGCTGGCGCTTTTGATACGTCGACTTGTGCAGGACAAGGAACATGCCTTGAAAAGACCCGTTCTCGACTCAACATTGGCACGCTACACAGCACAGATATGTCTGGCACTCACATTTTCTCCAAGGTCGCTAGATTCTCGAAGAGGCCTTCCGGCACTTCCGTCAGGTATGGGAGGTGATTAATCCGGCTTCGTGGCGAGGCAGCCAAGGGTGGGCGGCACAAAGGACAAACGAACAGCGTGTGTCGGGTGGCTCGTTGGCTTATGTGAAGGTCCACAGAATAAAATGCCGCGTACAGGTAACGCTTTGGGGGCGAAGCGCTTGCTCCTTCGAGGGATCAGCGACCAATCAACAGATACGCACTCGTCTGCTTGCTTCAGTTTTCGTCAGGCGATTTGCAACGTCTACCCAGACATAGGTGCTGAGGGCCGATCTTGTTTTCGACTGATTTCGAAAACGACCGAAAGAGTATCCCGCGATCGCCCACGAGACGCACAAGACCAGCGGCAGCTGTTCCTCACGAAAAATTCCTTGTTAGTCGCAGAGCAGCGCTTGGGACTTGTCTCCGCCAGCATATCATCAAGTCTACACCCACACGCAACTTCTCTCAAACCAAGACAAAATTCTCCACCACTCAAACTTCAGGGAAGATTAGGTGACTCGGCGGGTGCTTACAAGTCCTTTTTGTTTGGACAGCAGTCCTGATCTAGAAATGCTCTCTGCTGCTATAGCAGTTGAGGTCATCAGAGAGCAACGGCATGCGCAGTAGCAATCTCAGATCTGTTGCTGGGGCCGTGGTGTCTACGGCTGCAAAATCCGCAAATCTGGGTGAAAACCACCCATCGTTCACTGCGGCACGAGTTCCGATCTCCTGCACCACAGCCGGTATGCAGTAGGATGTTACACCGCCAGCTTCCTTTGGACGACCCGCAGTTCGGGGGTTGGGGCACGCGGCGTCGAAGCGACGAAATGCTGGTTTGGATCCATTGGGATATCGGGATTCTCTGAGCCAGAATGTCTTCTTCGATTTTTCCCCTTGGACATGTTCTGCATCAGATACCGCCGTTGTCAGCGGTCTCCTTATTGTAACCGCATCCAATTGAGAAAACATGCAGAAAATCTACGAGAGCTGTCGGGGGAAACCGTGTGGTCGAATACCTCCGGAAGAAGCTCGCATCCTGAAACTATGCGGTTGGGGATACGGGGACCTTCGTATTCACTCACATGTACGTGACGGCACTCAGGCCCGCAAACAAGCCCTCCGGGAAGTCGACGAAGTCGTTGTCGTCCAAGTTTCTTTGATTCAGACGTCGACGAACCGGAATGAAAGGCAGAGGAGTGCGCCGACGCGATTGGTAAAAAAAGCACTGATTTTCACGGTGCGGTGCGGTGCGGTTTTTACCATATCCAAATTCGACGGTGCGGTACGGTGAGGGTTTTTTCAACTCGATATTTGACGTTGCGGTGCGGTGCGGTTCACCGTCGCACGATTTTTTTTACGGTGCGGTTTGTCACCCCGCTATAAAAACCGCGCAAACCGCGGCCTTGGCGGCGGTGCACCGTCGAAGAACACCGCAGACAATACTAGGGTTGTCTGTGACAAAATGACGGGGTCTCCACGATTATTACTTTTTCGTGGAATTCGTTAGATTTAGTCCATCGAAATGAGGCCGCCACGACAAATCCCGCGGCTTGCGGTCAGAAAACCTGAAAACCCCTGACAACAGAGAAGCTACTGATAGTTTACTTCATTTTTCCAGACACATTACTACGTTCCTGCATCACGCATCAACAGCAGCTACATTCCTCACTTGCTTCTACTACTGTTGGAATATGCCAGAAGAAAACAACAAACAAATCTGGCAGAGCACCGACAGGCGGCTGATGCTCACCGCTGGCTACAACCAGACGGCGGTGTGTGTGTCGTGTGGGGACACGGTGTTGCGTGTGGGCTGATTTAAAAGGAAAAAAAAGGAACAACGTTCAATGTTCCTGGTGTGTGTCCGCACGACAAAACCGTGCCTTAACTGCGTTTTTTACGGCGGTTTACTGCGGTTTTGGCTACGGGGTAGGAAAAACCGCAACGGGATAAAACCGCAACTACGGTTATTTGTGATCCCCAACGGTGCGGTTCGGTGCGGTTCTTTTCATCTCGAAATGTGACATCGCGGTGCGGTGCGGTTTTGTGCACCTCGATATTTGACGGTGCGGTGCGGTGTTATTTTGTTTCATCTCGAAATGTGACGGT